GGGGGGGGGGGAGAAGCCAGGCTCCCCGGGAAAAGGGTGAGTAACAGAGGCGGCCCCCCATTTTTCATAAGGACGGGGGGGAGAAAAGGAGGGGGGGGGCAGTGTAAAAGATTAGGTGGGGAGGGGGCGCCTTTATTCGCCCCCCTCCATGCAAGGTGGGGAATATCAGAGATCGGAAGGGGGGGTGCGGGAAAGCTTAGCCATCTCTTTGCCCCTCCCACCCCCAACCACATCAAAGAGGCAAAATGGCTGCATTCCCCTTGTCTTGGTGTCAAATGGGGGGAACGGATGGGCTGGAAGCGCAGGAGAGCCTCTGCTCCGGGGGGCGTAGGGCAGCCGAAAGCCCCGCTTCCAGAAGAGGGGTGGGGGTGGGGAAATGAATGGTTCAAGGCCCTTTCCGTGGGTGCGCGTGTCTCTTGCGAGGGGGGCGGGGGCCCCGGACGGGGTTTGCAGTCGGAGAGCCCCTTTGCAAGGGGGCTTGGTCCGGGAGAGGGAGGGGAGGGCGACCGGAGCTTTAGGAAAGAGGGGGCTGGGCAGAAAACGTTCTCACGGAAAGTGGGGGGAACAGGAAGTTAAGACGGAGTGAGCGAAGTTGGAAGGGGAAAGTTGAGGCATCTGTCCTGGGGGAGGACAGGAAGAGGAATTTACAGTCGGAAAAATGGGGAAAGGGATCTTAGCGTTTGAAGTGGGGGAGGGAGAGGGTGCATTTTATGAAAGCTTTCCCTTTCATAATGGGGTGAGCTTATGTCCAACCCCTGTTTGGGAAAAAGTGGCATGACTTGCTCGTTTTGCGATAACTGACTGTCAGCTCCCTGATCCTGGGTTTAAAACCCCATGAATGAATACCATGAATGATCAGTCAGAGCCTTCATTCCAATTACTAAAAAAGATGATCGTGTTGCTGCTTAATTACTTATAAGTTGCTGTTACAGCAGGTACATTAGAAAACCCACAATTGATGGGGTTGATAATTAGCGAACAGGCCTTATCCTCCACTCCCCTATCTTCTCTCTAGGGGGTTTTATGTATATTTTGAGAAGGGGGATTTGTGGCCCAGAGATCCCTCTGGGCATTGTTTGGAGAACCAGGGATAGAATTTGGAACCTTTCAGGCATAATGTTTTGTGAAAAATGCCTGTGCCTCAAAAGTCTGTGATCAAGTTGGCAAAATAAGTCAATGGAAATAATCTCAGAAGTTATCTTTTGATTTTTTGCTTGCCTTTCAAAGTCCTAAACAGAGATTTGGGGATGTGGATCTAGTAAACTAGAATCAGCAAACCAGTTCTGACAACTGTTATTTCTGAAAAAACCCTTTCCATTTACAGTACTGTATATCTAAATGTGTAAATCTAAATATGAATTGGGAAAAGTGTCTCTGCTGTTGTTTTCATAATAGGTTTTGTTATGGATAGTAGCTTTATGTATATTGTTCAATCATTTGCGTTTTTCTAAAGAGGGTTGTTTCTTTTTCTTCTTTTAGAAAGATTAGATGTCTCAGTAATTACTTTGAGCACTCTAAAAATTACTTCAATATGATGTCTCCAATGGGAACACGCAGAGCCCCGCTCTCCAGATTTTCTTCTCAAATTCTTATTCACTAATGTTGACTGGGTAACTTTAGCGGATAAGCCAGTTGTAAATCAATACCTTTGCAATGTGACAAGGAGCAACAGGGAGGAAGGAAATGCAGTTTTGAAGTGAAAAATTATGGAGACATTTCAGATTTTCCTCATTACTAGTTGCAAATGGTTTCAAATTCTTTGGTTTGGGGGGAGTGCTGTTAGAATTTGATATATTCACCTGAAAGCATCATTCATTAACTGTGCTCCCTCGTACCATTCTCGCTTACGACTGTTTTATTGTGCCACTGTGAAATCCTCTCATGTGCAGAGAAGTTAAACATAAAGGGGAATTATTTTTCCATGGTTTTGATCCGTAAGCGGTACCATATGCCACTGGCTACACCTTCGTAGGTGGGGGGAAGTGGGAGGGGCCAATGCATCCTTGTCATCATGTGCAAAAATGATTTTTAAATGGAATTGCAAATCTATTTTGCCCTGTTTTGCAAATTAGAAAACTTGCAAAAAAAATCCTGACTTTTTCACTGTTGGTTAATAATGAATACTTTAAAATTATCCTGACTGTTGTGCCATTTTGCCTCACTATATGGATTTGGTAAATTATTAATTTTATCACCATCAGCATGTGTGGTGTTGTACAAACAGGAGCAGCAACAATAGAGGGTGAGTATTGTGGAACAGGTGTGCTGTTTTTGGGGGAAATGGAGCAATGTTGCAAATTAATTGCATCTGCTTGCCTTTCTGTAGCTTCCATTTAGTGCTGCACTTCTTTTCTAAACCAGGGAGAAGGGAAAAAGCATTGTTTTACTACAATGCTGGTAGTAAATGTCCTTCCCCTTCTCTCAGCTGTCTTTGTAGATGACAGACAGACTGATACCTATGTACAAAATAAATAAATAAATAAAATGGGGCAAACGTGCATGAGCTCTACCATTTCAAAGTGTGTGGTGGATGTAACCTATTCAAGTGGTTTCTGCAATCGGAAAGTTCCTTCGTCCAGAAACATTGTCATGTTGGAGGAAGGATAATTCTAAGCTTGCTTCCAGGATGGTGAAGAACTTGAGTGAGGAGACAACCATACTGTAATGTGATTATTATCCCTTTGCCTCTGGATTCTGAAGTGGTGGGATCCATGAAAAATTATTTATGTGATTATTCTGAATCTGTAGATTCAGGGAGAGAGCTGCATGAATGATACCATCATCCTCTGCTCTTTGTCCCCCTCCCTCTAGAGAATAGATTGGGTACAGAGTGACCGCCCCCCCCCCACCTTTGTGAAGGGGTTGTTTGCTGTCCTGGAGGAGGCTTTTCTTTGACGCTGACTCTTATCTTAAACTTTTCCAGTCTTTAATTTGGCCTGTCTTTTTTTTTTAAGCTGTCTGATTAATGTATTTAAGCCATTACAAGCTTTTTGACTGATGAGAACTGCCCCCAGTGAATGAAAACAGATTTAAATGATTAAAGCAATGATTAAATTATAAAAAATGAAACCCATGGGTAACTGACCTGCTCTTAAAAGAGAAATACTTTTTTGTACTTTTTTACACTTCAGGGTGCATTTTTTCTTAAGATGGTTCCTGCTGTGGGACACACGTCCAACATTACAAACTAAACCAAACCATACAAAAAAACCTTTTCCTCAGAAATACTTTTCTTACTTATATGTAAATGAATGCTGTAAATATGAATTTGATTAATCTCATTTTTCTTCAGTCAGGTGATTGCTTACTTTTTTGTCTTTTTAGGGAGAAAGTACTCATGTAAACACTTTTGGGGGAACCAAATCCTCTTGATGTATGGAGGAATCCTGTGACAGAACAGGTTCCTTGACAACAATCTCTCTGCCTCCTGGAAATTGTTGGCCAACTTTGGTCTAAGCTTGCAGTCAAAGTTTGAGGGAGAAGACTCTTCCCACCATGTTTGCCTGTGAGACTTGGGGTATCACTGGCCAGACCTCGGTCTACAATTGGGACAAGTCTGTCTACCTCTTGGAAGACAAAATGGAGTCTGAACAGGGATCGGGGGAGCTGGATCTCCATTTTAAAGTGCTGCTTGAGCAGGAGATGTATCCAGAAATCACAATTGAGGAAGAAGAGGAAGAGCCTGAAGAAGTAGAAGTAGATGCTGAAGGAGAGGCAGAAGAAGAGGAAGAAGAGGAAGAAGAGAGGGGAGAGGAGGAAGAGGAGGAGGAGGAAGAAGAGGAGGAAGAAGAGGAGGAGGAGGGAGAAGGGGATGTGGAAGAGGAGGATGAAGAAGAGGAGGAGGCACGCCCACCAGGCCCTCAGCAGGAGGCAGTGGGAGCAGTAGATGGAGATGACTCCCTGCTTGTGGTGTGTACTGGAACTGTTGAAGAGCTGCTAGGCTTGGAGGCATCACCAACTGCTGAATCAGTGCAACTAGAGGAGGCACCTCAACCTCAGCGCTGGGAGGTCCAGTGGGAGGAGGTGTCACAGACTGATTCACAGCCTCTCCCCCCTGAAATTATGGAACCACCACTAACATCACCAGAAGCAGCCACCTCCACTATCACTCAGGTAGTGGAGGTAGCTGCAGCAGAGGTAGAACCAGAGGCCTTCCCGACCACTTTGGAGCAAGTGGGGAACACTTCATCCCCATGGGGAGCATCTTTCATTGAAGAGAGCCACCAGGAACCCCATCCCTCCCCAGCTGGTGCCGATAGAGGGAGTGTCGGCAAAGCACGGACGCCTCTATCTGGAGGAGGCAGTTTCAGCCTGGAGACTGCTCGCCGGCGCTTCCGGCAGTTCTGCTACCAGGAAGCTGAGGGTCCCCGAAAGGCATGTGGTCAGCTCTGGGAGCTTTGCAACCACTGGCTGAAGCCAAAGAACCGCACCAAGGAACAGATTCTTGATGTCCTAATCTTGGAGCAGTTCCTAGCTGTCCTCCCTCCTGGAATCCGAAGTCGGGTGTGGGAATGTAGCCCGGAAACATGTGCGCGGGCAGTGGCCCTAGCCGAGGAGTTCCTGGCCAAGCAGCAAGAACCAGAAAGACCAGAGGAGGAGGTGAGATGGCTCAGTTCCCCTTCCCTTTCCTCACTTATATTCTTAAGATTCATTGCTGGGCTACTATTACTTGAGGGGAAGGCTTTGGGACAGGCAAGCACCTGAGATGGGACAGTTGCAGCAGGGATGGGAGGTAAGTGAAATGGGGCTTTAGGGAGGAAAGTCAAAGTGTTGCTTTTGGAACAAACCTAGCTGGTGGCGATTGCACAATGGTCTTATTATTCATGATGACTTCATTATATCATTTTCCAACTACCTTTCGAAGCATAAAAATCTCAATGATTGCCCCATAAAATAGCACAGAGCAATAAAATAAAGCACCCTTAAAACTGAAGAAATATATCAGATTCATTCTATTTCCAATATGTAGGTTGAGGAGACCTTGGCAGGTTTATGGGTGCTCCAAATTAATGAGGTGGATGTCATTTTTAAATATTTCCTCCTGTAGCAGGTTTTAGACCTGTGTTTCTCAACCTTGGGAGGTTTAAGATGTGTGGACTTCAACTCCCAGAATTCCCCAGCCAACTGTGGGAGTTGAAGACCACACATCTTAAACCTCCCAAGGTTGAGAAACACTGCTTTAGACAATCAAACCAAACCAAACCTAGTAACTGGAGCTGTTCTTCTTACCTCTCCCTTGGCTTCTGTTTCACTCGCAGACATTTTTTAATGTCAGGGACCACCCAAAAGTGTGATCTCTCATCTCCAATCTGGAATGTTACAATCCATTGTCTCCCTATCACACTGCAATCTATTGGGAATGCCAACTGTCCCTGGCAGAATGTGGACCTGGCCTGCTGATCCCATATGTCCTTCTGGCACTTTTAATCCATGAGCATATATAGGAAGGAGTATGAGAATAGCAGATAGTCAACTGCTGTGCAAAAGATGGGAGAGAAATATGCAGAGGGAAAAAAATTCTGGCAATGGTTGAATTTTTGATTCCTCACAAGCTGGTACCTGATTTCCTACAGGGATGCAGAGCTAACTCTTGGATCAGATTGCTGTTGCCATGAAAATGTGTTTACAGCATTGGGTTGATTCTTAACCCCATCTGAGATTTCCAGGAGTGGGGAAACTGTAACCTTCTACCCCAGCTTTGCTGAATTACAACTCCAGTGTCTCTTCATTGGCCAGGTTGATGGGTCTGTTGAGAGTCACAGCCTGTAGAGTTCACTGGTTTTCTGTCTGTCCTTATTAGAAAGTTTGCTACAGACACAGTATTCCCATCTCTTAAACAGGGAAATAAGAGCAAGCAGAAGTTCTTATCCGAAGGAACTTTCTCTTTATTGAAGCACCTGATTCATATTGAGTGACATTTCTGGAGCTATTTAGCCCTTTAGGACTTTGTCATCACCTTCAAGTGTGTATTAATTGGGAGCCTGGATTTAAAAGGACTCATGGGTGCTTCTGCATCCACTGCAGCAAAATTGGGAGCCAGGCTTTGAACCTGAACTGAAATGTTTGGGAGTTGAAATAGCACTGTAACGGTGCAGATGGAGACAGGCTGCATGTTTCTTGGCATAATGGTAGACAAAGTCCAATGTAGCTGGAGGACTGCAGACTAAACTGTTATAGTCTGTTTTGCCTGGCACTGGCTCTCTAAGGTTACTGTCGGAGGACTTTCCCATTACCTGCTGTCTGATCCTTTTCTTTAGAGAAGTTGGACATGAAGTCTGGGACCTTCTTTATGCAAAGCAGGTTCTCTGCCACTGAGCTGAGGATTTTTTTCACAAGTAATGAACCATCAAAAGCTGCCTGTTGCCCATTCAGGCTATCTGTCTGTGTGAAGGCAAGGACACTTGGTGTCTTTCAGATGTTTTGGATCTCGCGTCTCCAGTCAGCATGGCCAGTGGCAAAAATTGTGGGAATTGCAGTCCATAACAACTGGCAGACAGCAGGTTGCCTACTCCTTGTCTATATAGTCTAGACCAGATTCCAGATTTGCTATTTAATCTTTATGGAGAGGCCTGAAGAGTTTCTATAAATGAAGCAGATATCTTTTTCAGTGAGCTACATGCCCTACCAGTCAAAAATGAATGACGGTAAACTGTTCTAGTGCCAAACCAAACTATTCATCTGCTTAATTCTACTCTTATTTTTATCAAACTTTTTGAAAAGTTTTATTTGAATTACTTCACAGTATAAATTATTTCCTGTATTTACTTTTGGCTGGTGTGATTTTTGAATGATTCATTGTCGTTTTGTTAGCTTTACAACAATTGCTAATTGATGTCTATTGGTTTTTATTGCTATAATATGTAAAAAGAGAGGATTTACAACAAAAGAGATACAGGAAAAAATTAAACATTTAAAAAAACTACTGGAGAAAAGCTGACCAAAACACACATTTGTATATATTTTTTAAAAAATAAAACAAATCACTTTTTAAGCTGCAGATTAAATTTTGACCACACAGAATCATATTGATCAACATGTATATCACACTGATAAAGAGCAAGTTCAAAAGCTAAGAGCAGATACATTTTTTAAAAAAATCCAGGATTTGAAGTCTGAAGTGATAATTTCTTTCCAACAGTGCAAAATTATCTTTCTAGTTACATTCCAAGCTTGATAAATCCAAAGAAATTCCAAATTTTCAGAATGTGATTTTCAATATACAGATTTTTGGTACACATCAAACTTAGAATTGTTAACTTTTTCCCAGAAGCCAAAAGTAATTGTTCTGAAAAATGCCTGACTTCCTATGAAAAGAGCCCTATTATTTGAAATGTTCTCTTTCTCTTCCATAATAGAGAGAAACAGTTGACATGACAAGACATCACCCAGCTCCAAATTCCTCTCTTCCCCCACAGAACGAGAGTGCAGGAAAGGGTCACATCAGATATACATTACATTCTTGGATGTTCCTGTAGAGAGAGGAAAGAAAGGGAAACGGGGCTGTAATTTTCAGAGGCAGCTATGTCTCTTCTTTAACATCTGAGCAATTGCAAATAGCTGGGATGCCAAACCTGAGGAATTCAGGCTGGAGTGAGTTTGGGCAAAATTGTGCCTGATGCTATTTAACATCAGGGACTGGTTGTAATCTTCTTTTTGCATCCCCAAGAAGTTTTTCAGAAATTGTCTCAAGGAACAGAGATATTGTTGGTGCTAAATAATAATTACGCTAATAATTATCAAGAACCAAACTATCTTGAACCTCCTTTCTTTCCTTCCTCAGCCCTTCAGGTCCCTGGGTGGCCCACTGAAGTCTCATGGCAGGCTCTACAATGCAGATCTTTAAATTAAAATCATCTTTCAGTATCTACCTCCTCTCCCTTTATTTCCCCCTTTGTCTCATTGGTCTCCCACAAAGAGGGTTGCAGCTGCCCATAAACCCCAAATAATTGTTGCATCGGCTGCTTGCAGGGGATTTCCAGAAAACTACGCAAAGGATGCTGGGAGCTGTAGTCCTACCGCGTGGAAACAAAGGGTTTCTGCTCTCTCCTAGCAGCTGACTGCAAGCCAGAACTGTGGAGAAAATGTCAATTTTCTCACCCTGAGGCCTGTAAAGCAATCCTGTGTAAAAATTAGGTTTCTGCTAAGAGGCCCCTTCTGCAGAAACCTAAGCTGTTATCAGAAAGTGGGCATTGATGTAAATCGGTTGTAAGATTGGACCAGAAAGTCTCAACTCATGAATTTTTTATTGGAACTTCCTTGTGGGAAATCAGAAGCAGTTGGGAAAATGTTTAATACAGTTCCCAGACTGCACAGCAGAGAAGTTGATACTCAGCCTCCCCAATCTGATGGCATCCTCCATCATCCCCAGCTGGACAGCTCCTCCGTATCATCTTTCCTGAGTTCTAAAACCCATATGGGTATAAAACACACATTCACATACCAACATACAGTACCGTGTTTTCCTTAACTCTTGCAGCATTTCTAGAATCTCAGTCTTTATTACTTGTGGAAGCCGTATATTTATTTAATTAATTAGTTTCAAGTTTGATTAAATTGATTGAAATTTAGTTTTTGCCTTAGCCTCAGCTTCTAAAATGCCTGAAAAGGGACACATTTAGCCTGCCCCCCCCCCCAATTTGGTGTTGCGTACCTTTGCCTTAGAAGGACCGAAAGAAAGATTGGTTATATTAGCAAAAAATCATAAAAATCTACCATTGAGCCAAAGCATGACCCCCAAATCACCCCAAGTCTCAAAAAATTGAGGTTCATTTTATTTATCAAATTTATGGTCAAAGGCCAAAAGTTGCAGGAGACTGTAGTGTTCTTCTGGGACTTCAACTATTTCAGTTAATTTAATAGGGGTATTGCAGATATTGTTTTGGAGGCAACAGACCCAAGAGTGCCCTTGGGTGATGTGTTACAAGGCCCCATTGAAAGCCAATTTGCTCCAGCTCTGGAAAGCACGTAAAAAAAACTAGATTTCCAAAGGAGTACATGTACATAGAATTACAACTGAGCAGAGCTGCAGAGAGTATGATCACCAGGAAATGGTGCTGCCTCTGAATGTCCTTTTTTCCAGAGGGTTTTTAATTGTGATTTTCCTGTCTGAAAAGGGAAGTGGTAGAAACCAAATGGGAACTGATTCGTGGGGTTCTCTAATTTTGTTGTTGGCTCTTAGTGGCTCCAGGTAGAGGTCTAGAGAAAGTATTAAAATCAAAAACTAGTACACAGAAAAGCAGAAGAAAAACCCTGTATGCCTGTGGTTCTCCAACTGAGAAGAATTCATGTGGTGAGACTGCAATGAGTAATCAGTGAATAAAAACTTTGCGACATGTTTCACTTACCTTCAGTGAATGATACTAAAATGCAAAGAAAGCAGTCCAAATTCTGAATAGCTACAACTGCAGAATACTGTGAGGTGTGAAGAATCTATATTATGATTACGATTATATCCCTCCCTTACTTTGTACAACTCAAGCTGGCATACATACAGTAATACTCCTGTCTCCTGTTTTCCTTAGGACAACAATCTTGTGGGGTGAATTGGACTGAGAGAGAGCGACTGGCCCAAAGTCATTTAGTCTGCTTTCATGCCTAAGGGAGGACTAGAACTGATGGTCTCTGGTTTCCAGTCCAGCACTTTAACCACTAATCAAACTGGCTGTCTACATGGCAGTCTTCTCCCTGAATCTCCCCTGATCTTACCTCTCCTGGAAAGTCATAGAAAGTATCCATTTCATCATGAAATTATATCTCCTCTTTGTAATACCGTATGTGTGAATTCATTTTTTAAAAATCTCCCTAGTTTCATGGAAGGTAAGGTCGGAAGGAATCTTGGAGAACATCTAATCCAGCCTACTAGATCTTCTACATCAGCATCCTTGACAGATGGCCAACTAGCTTCCATTTAAACCCACCCAGGAAGATGGAGTTTTAAAACTAAAAGTAAAGATGTCCCCAAAACATCCAGGGCTGTAGGGGAAGCAGAGGCCGCATCAGAGAGGCTGGGCCCAAAATTTTTATCTCCCTTTATTTTCTTTTTCAGGGATGAAATGTTGATTCTTTTTTTTTTTCCCCTAAGTGTGCTTAGTTTAATATTAAAGAGTCTTTGGCTGCTTCTTTGTTAATTGTGCTTCTTTGATGAATCTTCAGGATTCTGACTTATTTGAGGAGGTGGTGGTGACATTTCCTGATGAAGACCAAGTCCTTTCAGATACTGAGCATGGAGATATGTTTGTGGAAGCTGAACAGCGGGCTGATGTGGACATCTGTTTGCTTGGTGAGGACCCACTTAGTGCCTTGAATTGCTTCCCTTTCTCCAAATGCATTTTTAAAATTAATATTGATCCGTATATTCCCATCATGCAATGATTATATAAAATAGGAAACACCTAAGACATAAGGTTTCTACAGCAATACGAGTCCTAACAGATGACTAAGCATACCTTTAAGGATGGCTTAATTCAGCTTCTCCAATCCAGTGTCCTCCAGATGCCATCATTCATAGCCATTGTTTTGAAGACCTGCAGTGGGTCTTACATTCCGTTCCTTTCCTTCCTGCATGACAAAATAATGGTCTGCTGTGATATCCTCCTCAAGTACAGTAAACTGGTTTGCGCAAACAATAAAAGTATTAAAATAGAATTGAAAGCTGATTCTGGTTTGGATTAAACTATGGCAAATACATACAAAGAGAGGAACAGGAGCATGGGGAGGTTATTTGTGAAGCCTATGCTTTGGACATAGTAACCAAGTTATGTCCCAGGAATTTTGTATTTCAACTGGGCTACCATTAAACAATACATAAAATAGAAACTGGATTTTTACCATGAAACTCCAGTAAAATGCATTTGTTCCAAAGTAAACTCATTTTCCATGGATAATGCAGTCCATTCCTGTGCTGCCCTGGCATCGGATTCCACAATCTCATCCAGGTCTTTTAAAAATATGGATGTATTTAGACAATATTACTCAGTGCTGTCAGGCAAAAACATGTCAGCTTTCCTCTATGCTGGCCTGTGACCTTAATAAAAATTTGATTTGATTTGATTTGCCAGCTTTCCTTCTAAAAGGTCTAAAAACATCTTGCGATGGTGAGTATTTTTTACATATCCTGAGGCATGTTTTCAGGTAAGCATTAGGTCTGGCCTTTTACTTTCTTGCATAGGTTCTTCTGACACAGAAGCAACCTGGGATTCTTCTGCAGATGAAGGAGAAGGAGGTGGCTCAGGTGAGTCAAGGCCTGTATCGGCAGGTAGGGAATCCTGCAAGGAGGATGAGGCTCCCTACTTCAGAATAAGGCCTCCTGGCCCCACTTATTTTGAATCACTGTGGCCTTACCTCCCTTCCCCACCCCCAATCTGAGTTGTAGCCCTTGGCTATCAAAAGGTTGGCCACCAATGAAAAGTCCTTATGGTTCTTTGAACTCCAGAAGACTGTCTCTCATTAGTAAAAAACATCACTTTTTGGCAGTTGCCTGAAGGCTGCTGTCCTTAATGGCCCTCAAGCTCATTTAGTATTTAGAGATGAAGCAGGATGAATTGAGATTCTCTTCTACATCTAAATAATCTTTGTACCAGGCAAATAGAGTATCCTTCCTTTTTAATGCATTAGCAAATATGGGCTTGTTAGGCATCATAATAGTGAAAAGCAGAAGCTTCTAACTCTTCCATATAAGAAGATAGTCTTGTGGGGGACAGCTGGCAAAATCTCAGCCAGGGAGCTGATGTTGTACTTCCAACTGTTGGAAACCTTTTCCAGCCATCTATTTCTGGTTTCTGAGATTTTTTCCAGCATTGCCCACACATATTATCGTCATAGTGATAGGAGCTAGAAATGTACGCTTTAATTAATAAAAGTAATAAAATATAAAAATAATTGAAAGGTATAGAAACCAGATGTACTGTTATCTATGCTGTCTGGTTGAATTACAGTGTAGGCCTGTTTGCTGTGGGAAAACTGCCTTAATTGTTACAAAGAGGCTACTTCACTAGTCAAAAGGCCCATGTTACGTTTTAGACAACTTAATAATGAATGTTAATTATTAATTATGTTAATTATTAGTTAATGCAGGCTAGGTCAGCAGCAGGTCTTTTTGAGTTCAGTGGTGTCTTATTCTGAAGTAAGTGCATGGGACTGAGGAAAATTATAGTGTCTGAAGCTGGCAACATTTGGCTCTGTTTATGAGGGGCATAGGACTCACTCTTTAATAAAATCATTCGGACTGAAACCTGAGTCACATTTAGGGAACTGCTTGTCCCTTTAACTGTCAACTACAGTCCTTATCGTTCCTGACCATTGCCCAAAGGAGATGGGACTGATGGGAGTTAGAATCCCAATCACGGCTGAAAAGCCACTAGCTCCTTGCTCGTGGGCGTCTGCAAGGGGATAACTAATGATCTGTGTGGGATAACGTCACCATGCAAATGTCCGGACTTATGAATTTGTGTCAGATGTTTTAACACAAATATATACTTGCGTCATTTGTGTGATGACCTCATTGTGTGCATGGCATTGTTTGGGCATCAGTCATGTTTGCTGCACATGCTACTGTGCCTGCTTTTGAGAAAATATTGTGATTGTGTCCTTCTGTTTACATTTTATTATCATACATATGATGTATTATCACAATGATTAGTCCAAATGGGACCTTCTAAATATGTTGGGACTGCAACTTCTAGAGTTCCTGGACAATATGGCCAAAGAGAAATAAGGTGAAGTCTTCAAGCTGAGCTTGACTCCTGGGGACTTCATGGATAAATGTCAGCCACTGCCACCTTCTGTGATGACTTTTGATTTCCTAGTCTAGTTTATACTTCCCATCAAAATATTAACCAGGCCTGACCCCACTTAGCTTCCACACCCAGAGCAGATGAGTCAGGTGCTACAGTAAAGGACATCTAGGCTAGCCATATTGTAGTCCCAAATCATCTGGGGAACTCCAGGTTGAGGAGAGCCAGCTACGAAAAGTTGCAGAGAGGAGGCCACCTTAGAAGGGACGTTATCTGCTGTGGAAAATAAAGTGGAAAGCCTCTTCTAAGGAAGCACCTATTGGAACATGCATACGTGTGTGTGTTATCTCAAAACCAAGAAAGTATTTTGTTTCATTAAGTTTTTCCCTTGTGGCATAATTAATTCAGTCAATTAGCTAAAATGAATGCAGTAACTTGGCTAATCATGGTTTCCCCTGTGGCGTAATTAATTCAGTCGGTTACCTAAAATGAATACAGTAACTTGGCTAATCATAGATTATTTGGGCAGCAAAGCTAGAGTTCATGTCTATAAACCTTTTGAATTCTCTCTTATTCCCACATCCAAGCAGGTGCCCGGACTCCCAGCAGAGCAGATCCTCAGTTGGGATTTGGGGAAAGGCGCAATGGAGCAGTGCAGCATTTGGCTCCAAAGAGGATACGGGTAAGAGAGAAACGCCATCCTTGCATTGAATGTGGGAAACGGTTCCGTTGCCAGTCAGAGCTGGCCCTGCACCAGAAAGTCCACTCTCGGCCCAAATCCTATCACTGTGCTGAGTGTGGGAAACAGTTTGGTCGATCCTCACATCTCACCAGGCACCAGAAAACCCACATGGGTGAGGAATGCCACGTCTGCACAGAATGTGGCAAGCGGTTCCGCTGGTCAACGGAGCTTGTCATCCACCAGAGGATCCATGCTGGGGAACAGCCACACTACACCATGGATGCTGACACTCTGCTTCAGTGGCCCTCAGAGTTCAGTATGCCCCAGAGTGTTTTTACAGGTGAGAAAGCCACTCCAAATGGTGATATGGTGAAACCCCATACAGTCAAGAAGCCTCACCTCTGTCCCGAATGTGGGAAAGGGTTCCGGTGGCCCTCTGAGCTCGCGGCTCATCAGAAAACTCACAACAAGAACAAACACTACCTCTGTCCTGAGTGTGGGAAAGGATTCCAGTGGCCCTCAGAGCTTGCGGCCCATCAGAGGACCCACACAGGCAACAGCTTGCCTCTCATGACTGATTGTGAGAACAGCAACAGCCAGCCACTTCATCACCCTCCCTACCTGGGAGCTGGCATGGCAGAGAAACGCCACCTTTGCGGAGAATGTGGCAAGGCATTCCGATGGCCGTCAGAACTCGCCACGCACCAGCGCATCCACACGGGAGAAAAGCGCTACTTCTGCACAGAGTGTGGGAAGGGGTTCATATGGCCTTCAGAGCTGGCCGCTCACCAGCGAACCCACACTGAGAAGCAAGCCTACCAGTGTATGGAGTGTGGAAAAATATTCCATGATCTCTACGGTCTCACGAGACACCAGAAGACCCACCTGGGAACCAAGGTCTATCCTTGTGCAGAGTGTGGGAAAACCTTTAGTCGGCAGTCCCATCTGACTCGGCACCGGATCACTCACACTGGCGAGAGACCCTACCCTTGTATTGAATGTGGAAAAAGGTTTGGACGGCAGTCTCACCTCACTCGGCATCTGAGAATCCACACTGGAGAGAGACCATATCAATGTGGTGAGTGTGGAGTGAGGTTCAGGCGGAGGCACAGCATGATCTACCATCAGCGGATCCACTTGAGAGAGTCCAGTGGAGGTCTAGACATGACAAACCCTCCTAACGCAGAAAACCTTGCTGACCATCTCCAGAACCCCATCCATGTCACAATTTGACACGTCGGGTGGTAGGGAAGGAATTTCAGAAGGAATGTGGGATGGGTGAGTGGGACATGTTGATTTCAACATCTGGAAGAGATTCTCCTGTGGTTGTGCTGTTTCACCACCTGGAGGGTCTGTATCACAGGGTCCAAGAGGTACATGTTTCAGGATTCCATGCAGCATGACAGAGAATGCTAGCACAGGGCTTGTGAGTTGTGCAAGCACTGTGAAGGATTCTGGGGCAGGATGCCCTCACCCCCCTCTGACCATGTGCTGCTTTGTAGTTGGGCTGAAAAAGTGGGCTGCCCCCAGGAACAGGTCTGGTAACTTGGTGGCCAGGTTAGCCCCATGGATTTAGATGTGGCTCCTGCAAAGCTTTTACGGGGGGGAAAGAAACATTTGATAACCAGGATGGGTCTCCCCTTGCTATTCTTAGCAGATAGAGCAGTGTTTGTCCCCTGGAACACATGGTTGTGGTGGGGGGTTGGGTAGGACAGAATGTGCTTTTCTCACTTCTCAATTTTCTTTACTTTTTCTTTCTGTGTCACATATTTGGGTCAAGTCAGGGGATTGTTGTGATGAGAGGACTGTGGAGGGTGACTCTGTGGGGCCACCATGTTGTTCCTTGCAGGGCAGGGCACTCTTTGTTTTTATATGGTTCATATGTAGAAATAAATCAGTTCAGTACCACTTTTCCCAGCCATGTGTTACGGCAGTGGGGAAAGCTGACCTTCCCCACTTTTTAAAACAATAATAATAATTATTATTATTATAATAAAAATCTCTCATGTGCAAGAGTCTGATTTGGGATGAAATCCAGCAACCTATTTCTTCAGTGGCAATTTCTCATTTCTACCCATCCTCCCAAGGCAGAGAAAGCAATGAATAAATCCAGATTTTGAAAGAAAACAAAGCATGGCTCTCCAGAGATATTTTCTCTGAGGTACTTTCACCCTCCACAGCACTTCTATTTTTCCTTTCCTCTTTTCTTGGGAAATTTGGGGTGAAATTTCCTTCCTTGTGGGCCAGATTACGTATCGTCATTTTTTAAAGGAATAAGGCAGTGTTTGGGCACATCCACTTTCACTAGACTGGTGTGGCATTTCCCCACCTGGAACTCTGCAGATGCCTTGAACTGCATTTCCCGTTCCCCTCAGTGACCGCGGTCATGCTGTTGGGGCAACGTGAATTGTAATCCAGCGTGTAGGGAGATCGCGGATGTAGGAAGGCTGCACTATTTATTTATTTATTATTATTTTAAAAAGTATTTATCGGTGTTTTTCTTTTAATCCAGTAAGGCAGTGTTTCTCAACCTTGGGAACTTTAAGATGTCTGGATTTCAACCCCCACAATTCCCTGGCCAGCCATACTGGCCAGGGAATTCTGGGAATTGAAGTCCATACATCTTGAAGTTCCTAAGGTTGAGAAACACTGCAGTAAGGTCTTGAATTAAAACAAATGAATCACATCACCGTACAGTAAACTCACTACAAAATAACAGCAAGGCCAAGCCGTTGTTTCCCAACAAAGGCATATTAAAGTGATTGGAGATCATTGAAGGCTCTAAAAACAACCACAACTGTATTTCTAAAATGTAATGAGGAATGACAGCATCCACATGGCCTCCTCTGGAAGGAGATCCAGAGTTGTGGTTCTAGAAAAAGAAATCTTGGTTTTGTGTACTCCCAACCTAGCTTCTTTTGGTGGAGGGAATGATTAGAGATGTGAAGGATGTGGGTTGGAAAATAGATCCTTCTGGCTCTGTGTTTCCTGAAATGGTGCAGTCCTATGTATGTTTACTTAGGCATATGTTCCTCTCTTTCAGTGGGATTTACTCCCTAAAAAGTATTTGACATAGAACTAAGACAGCAAACATTTGGCCTTTAGATACGAGCAAAGAAGAATACATTTTTAGGGATTCTGCTACCAGATGTGAACCGAGGAGTTTTAAAGCTGAACTGAAATGAGTTCACTTTAGGAGTAACCTCAGGAGACTTGGATTTTAGAGGAAGGACCACACTTTGAGGCCGCTTTCATTCTAAAATCTTTTTTTTTCCTCTATATTGCTTTGTAATGATAAGGGAGAAGAAAGTGTCATTTTCATTTTGGTTTGCTTTCCCCACATTTAAATCCTGCCCCCCACACACATTTTTTTTGATCCACCTTTGAAATTATGGAATTCCTGAAGAATGAACATCCTTTTGGAAATAACTTCAGAATAAAGAGCTTTCTACAGTTAGTGCCTCGTGTGCATTTTCTGAAGAACAGACTAACATCAAGCTGCAGCCCTTGTAGAAGGGGGCAAAGCGATGATTTGGAGGCAAGAGAATGGTCAGGAATGGTTCATAAAGTCATGAAGCTGTGCTTTTTCACACCAATTCTGCCTTTTCTTTCTATCGACCCTCATGCAGTTTGTTGGAAGAGAATTTGCTTTCTTGCAGAGAAATTCTCTTCTTGGGTTTAAGTGAAATTGAAGTGTGGTGTTCCTGCAGTCATTGACTGTATTCCTATAAAGCATTTAACCCAGTTACTGAATTAACCCATTTTTGGGGTTTGCACAATACATTGAAACTTAATCCTACTAAACAATTCTGGTTTGTATAACAACTGATCTGTAATAACAAAATAATGACATGTAGCCATGAGATCTTAAACTAGATGCATGTGTCATGAGAACAGGCCACTTCATGTAAGGTGGCCCAAGGGTGAATAAATATCCTGGAGTTCTTCATTTCCTCATCTTTCCAGCAGCCTTAAGCCTTCTTGGGTTTTCCCAAGTCCATTAAACCCCAAGGAATACCTCATGAGAGAGATTCTCCCACTGGGCCTTTTTAGATGGGGATATGTGAGTGGCTGGGGAAACTTTATATTTTGCAAACAGAAAATAACAGCATCCTTGCTGCAACTGTCAATAAAATAAGCTAAAAAGAAAAAGGAAAATTGGAGTGAAATCATCAAATGCCCTGAAAATAAGATAGCAAAATAAAATGGGGTGGGGGTGAGGGCTTGCTAAGGTATTTCATTGCAGAGTTTGCACGCAATTATCTGATGGTATTTCCCGTTCCTTTTCTGAATGATGCACACGCCCATCTAAAGCATTTGCAATTGTTTAAAATATTTAACATATAATAATTGATAAAAGTAATAATACAAAACAGATTCCACTTTGGTCGTCATCAAAGCCTCAAGCTGGTTCATCATATGTAAACCATGATGTAGTGAAGAAAGGTATTGTATTGGCATAAGTCGATAAAAGCAGAGTGAAAATCACTGCTTTAAAGATGTGAGAGAATAATATTATCCAGTGTAAGAACAGATTTAGCAAATTTCTAAGAGGAAGGTATCACCAGAAAGAGGCCCTGGTACCCTTAGTCAGTGTTTCTGATTTGCAGAGGGGCAGGCTCTAAGTCAGAACAAAAATACATGCTGGGAAGAGGAAAATTAACACCAGCTCTCTGGATGGAATTCAGAATAAGTTAACCTAATTTAAAAACAGTACAAACTTAAAATATAAAGCCTATACAAAAGAAGGCCATCGAGGTCTGGAAGACTAAACTGGGATATACCAGATACTGTATCTTTTCCACAAATTCCTATTTATTGGCAGTGGATAAAAATAGATGATCCCCACAAGGAGGATTTTAGCTTCATTTTAGGAAAAGTGTACAGTGGTAGTAAGAGAATTCTGATAGCATTTTTTTCTCCTGTCCATGTCGGCCCTGCTTTTCCTCATAACAACTCTAGGGAGAAGATAGATTGAGAGAAGAATGGCTCGTGGAAGTTCATGAAGATTTCATGACAGAATGAGGTGGTTTCCACCTTGGTCCTCATCAAACACTTAAGCTGGGTCGCCATACAAAACCATGGTTCAGTGAACATACCAAAGTGGCCTGATTTATACAAATACTTAGAAAAAATCATCACTGTGTTCCTAAATCACTAACAACTTTTATTAAAGGCTATTCATGTCTCTTAATAAAATTTGTTACTTGGAAAACAGACCACAAGACTCCTGATTTTGGCTACTAGAGATTAACATGGCCTTCTTCCTACAATGTCAGTAAATCACTCTAAGCCAAATCAGATCACTAGTGAAATATGTGATCCTAGCTGTATTTATGGGCCCAAGATGGCCAAATAAAATTTGGGGGAATGTGAATTTGATGCTTTCTTTACTTGTCAGACCACACCAGTTCAGGACACCAGGGAGAATGTGTCTATATGCTGGGTCATAGGATAATAAAAGTCCCCCAATCATTTCAGTGCAACAGTCACTTGTATGGCGTGATATAACTTTAAGGTTTTTCTCAAACCATGCACATCTGTCATAATAGAACTGCTGGAACAGATCCCCAAAAGGAGATCAGCAAACTCTCGTCATCTTGTAATTTATTGGTTTATAAAACACTTCCGTGGTCCTGCATTCATCCAACATGTTTAACAAGGTCAGTTACACGTCCAGCACCTGCATTTCTATAACATGCTAAGCTTGGCTATTTTTAATTTGGATTAGGATTTTGTGTTTGGGTGTGTGTGGTTTAGCATGTTGTGGGAACACAACTAAAGCAGTAAACAATCTAAAAGAAAATAATGACAATCACATGGCATACACTTCCAGAGAAGTCACTGGGTTTGTCTACTCCAACAAAAACAACCTAGAATTTTGTAGACAAAAAGTGGGGAAAAAAGAGTAACAATGCTAGAACAAGGATCTTTGGCTTTGGCCACATGGTGCAAAGATTCCCAAAAGGCTGCTTGAAAGCGGCTGTTAAGAACAAGAAGTTCAGCCTTTTGGTGAGGAGAAAAATCATTTGAAACCTTGAGGGAGAAAGGAGTCAAGATGGAATTATGCCAAAAGTAACCAAGATAATCAGCTACATTGAAAGTCAGAATACCAAAAGAGCTTAGTTTTAGTGTGCAAAGTACAATGTTCCCATCCCCATAGCTTACTCGTAAGTAAGCATTGGGAGGGGAATGATAAATCTATATTGGGCTAGAATAGACCATAGAATCAGAATTGGAAGGGCTCTCAGTGCAGGGTCTGATAAAGCATTTTGGATGGATGGCAATCCAGCTGCTGCTTGAAGATCTCTGGTAAAGGGGAACAGACCATTTTGTGAAACCACATATTCTACTGCTTGACAGCTCTTGCTATCAGAAAAGTCCTCATATCTAACCTGAATCCATTTTCCTGTAGTTTCAGCCTGGTTCTGGTCCTGTCCTCTAGGGCAATCTCAGAGAAGTTCATTCTCTCCTCTGTATGACAATCCTTTGGATACCAGACGTTTGCTATTGTATCTTCACTCAGTTACCTCTTCTTTAGACTAAAAGTACACAGTTCCTATGCCATTCCTCACAGGACTTGGTTTCCAGTCACCTCACCATCTTGGCAGACATCCTCTGAATTCACTCATTTATTGATGTCCCTTTTAGACTGTAGTGCCCAGAATTAGATGCAATATTCTGCATGGGGCTTGACCAAGGCAGAGTAAAAGGCCCACACAGCTTTTGGTCATTTTATATCATAACATTCTCAACCATCTCCTTTGAGGCTAGTACTCTAATCCCAAATTATTATTATTCTTTTTTTTTTTTTTTAACAATCCTGTTTGTTTCAATAGAGTTGTTTCAATGTAAGGATGCTTGGAATGGTTATATATACAGAAGATTCTCTGACCTAGTGTCTCCCCGAAGTTCTGGACTGGAACACCCATAATTTGCAAAAAAAAGGCCACCCTAGGTGGAAATTATGGGATCACAACTTAACATTTCTGGAGGGCGCTAAGTTAACAAACAATCTAAGAAACATATTTATCTTATACAATAGTTGTCAAAAACTGCCATTAGGGGGAGCTCAAGATTTTCAAAAATCTGTAAAATTGCTTTATCCACACAATTTTAAATCTTTTTCAACTCAAAGAGGAAAACATAGTTTAATATATTACTTTTTAAATTATTCCCTGCTCTTCCTTTCAGCAGAGTGACTTTTACAACAGTGATGAGTTACAGCTGAACTTCAGGTGAAATGCTAGAAATTATATCAAGAAACATTCCATTACTATATAGCATTAAAATTACTCTGGATGCAAAGAGTTATTATGGTCCATTGAGGCAACCTGGTTCCTGGTGACTACAGGAACAAGTCCCTGCGGTTTTCTTGTTAACAGTTTTGGAAGTGGCTTCCCATTGCCTTCTTCCTAGGGCTGAGAGAGAATGACTGGCCCAAGGTCACCCAGCTGGCAGGACTAGCACTCAAGATCTCCAGGCTTCTGATGCAGCAATTTCAGC